CAAACATATCAGTTTCACTTGTTTCAAGTGCCAGTGATCATGCCCCAGCCATTTCTATTTATAGTAATGTACTAGTACTTACATGTTAGTACTGTACGTCGTTTACCTAGAGTATACACTGTATCTTGCCTGATACTACTACCGGTACTAGTTAATCGCAACACATGCAACGCCATGTAATTAATGCTTTCTTAAATATTCTTAAACCAGAGCCGGAATAGGTTAACACGGCAGGATGGTAGTAGAGGTGGCGATGTGATCTTCGAAAGGCGTCTCCTCCTTTTTTCATTCACCAGCACCACTTCCTTCAACGCCTGGAGCCACTCGTGCATGTCTCGTTCACAAGTCGCTGCAATAAAGTACCGTTTGGTCGGCGTTTGGATGGCTATCCGCCACCCTGTGGCCACCGATCGCCCAGTCTTTGGACAATCTGCTGGCATCGCTTCCAACGACTGCAACGTGCACTCGGTCAGGTCAATGCTGCCCTTCCACGCTCCGCCTTGGTGGGTGTAGTAACTGAGTGAGGCGGTTGTGAGAATGCAATGGCGAGGTGTCCAATGGTAGCGCTTGAAGAACCCGTTGCCCGAGCTTTTCTTGAAGAGGGTGCCACGTTTGACGATTTGGTCGGTCGACATCGGTTGATGTGAAATTGAAAAGTGAACAACCAACTTTCAACGACCACCGCAAACACTCCCGTATGTCTCACAGTGGTGCAATGCGTCAAGTGCAGGAATGTCATGGTAGGATGATAAATATGCATCGAGATTGCATTTAACCTGTGAATGGCTTTGTACAGATTGGACGTATAATGCATACAAAACGACAAAACAACCGGTCATGACCTACGGTAGTAATGGTGGCGGAATATTATCTTGGAATAACATTACTGTAGTTGGTGGAGTGGAAACCATCGCGGAATCATCGATGGCATCGACAAGGTTACAATAAGTCGAATACTAGTACTGTACTAGTAGTAAGTTGCAGTGACCTTTGGTACATGTAGCACACTGTATGCTTGGCAACTTTAAGAAGCTATAGATGTAAGTCCTTAACCACACATGAATTATGCACCGAACAATGAAAGAGGGGTAATTTTGCGTGGCGAACGGGACAAGTTATAGTCCTCCTCCAGCGTTTCGAGTGTAAAACGTGCTTTAAGTACAATTTGCAGACATCCAGACTCGAATGTTATTAGGTAAGCTAACTTGCGATGGCGTTAAGATCTCTGGTAACGTTAACTACTTAAGCTTAGTTCAATCCCTCATTTAAAGAGTGGCTACTGGCTAGAAAAGGCAAGGTTATATTGGGAGTGTCCAAGCATTGACTCCACACACTCCACAACTGGGATAACGTTAGCGATCTAAACACCGATGGTTTGCGAAGTCAGCATTGAATATACCATGGGGTTACATACTAGCAAGGGCTACTGCCGGTAGTACATGGCTACAGGGAAGACGTAATTCACATTTAGATACTGGTTTGTCAGTGAATTTGTCTGGGAAAGGAAGGACCTTTAGAATTCCGAATGTTTGTTGTTGATTCCCCCTCCCCCTGACTTGCACCTGTGTCTATTAATACTATGTACCGGTAGTAAAATTAACACGTAGTACATGTAAAACCAGTTCAGGATACACTACAGCTACTGTACACTACTATAGTAGTAGTACGTACTTGTACTACTAAGCCACAGTAGGCTATGACTACTGCTACAGTGTACTACTACGTACAGTAGTAGGTCAAACGTACTACTAATACTACATTGTAACTAATGACTGAAAAGTTACTGTAGGTCAAATAAAGCTAAGCACTTGGAGAGCGAAGCAAGTTTTAATGAACGTAGCAGTTCCAGTCACTACTGTACAGTATAGGCACTCTACAATTACTATAACGTTTACTAGTAGCATGTCAACGACTCTGTGAAGGATATTGATTTTGGATTCGTTAGGAGCTCATCGTTTGCAATATAATAAATACTAGATGTTGCATTACAAAAGATACAATGCTGTGGCTTGATTCAAACCTGTTAGAAAGTCATCGTCGTTCCACAGAGCACTTGTGGGTGGTTGGTTGTCCATTGGGAGGACACGGCCGACGATGTTGCTTGCTGTCGTCGATTCGTGTCGCTCCGTCGTCGTTCGTTGGCTCTGAAAACGCTTAACAAAGCTTCGACCCATTCGCGCATATCTCGTTCACAGGACGCCGCCATGACAAACTGTCGCGACGGTGTGTTGATGCGCAGACGCCACTCGGACGCAGCGGAATGCCCTGTTTTGTGGCAGTCCTTGGGCATGATTTCCAACGCCAATGTGTCGTAAACGTCCGAGAGATCCACGCTGCCTTTGAGGTGGCCATCTTGGTGGTCGAAGTACAAAAGTGCGTCAAGCGTGAGCACCAAATACCGAGGCTTCCAGTTGTGGCGATGGATGAGGAACCCACCGCCAGAACCTTTCTTGAACGCCGTGCCAGCTTTAACCAGCCGAGGACTGGATGGTCGAGATTGAGATGATTTGCTGTTGGTCATGTTCATTGGTCGTTGCGATGATGGAGAGTCCATTTGAGAATAACCACGAACAGTGAATGATGAGTCGAGGTGGGAGTGAAGGTTGCATGGTATGTACGACCGACCGACCATGTACACTACACATTTCAGTAGCATGTACGTGTCATTTTTGACATAATATAGTACAGTATAAACTCTACTATTTTATGGCTTTATAAATAGTATATATAATATGAATATCCAGTGGAAAACGATACTTTGAGGCCAGATGAATTGTACAACCTGGCGTTTGTTTCGGAGTGTTGCAGGGTTGTAATTGATCGTTTTTGGCGCGGATAAATTGTGCCATATATTGCACCTCAAAGGACTACGTACTTGTATGGATTGTTGAAATCAAATGTGTAACATGAACAAGTAGCTATTTTGACTCCAGTTACGTACGGTAAATCCGAATAGCGTTAACTGGAATCTGAAAACTACATATACAATGAATGACTTACGCCGTTGTGGTCACAGAAGATGGGCACAACAAAGCTCGAGTAACACTGCTTTAAGTACACGGTACATACTCATGACATCAAGTACCGTGCGTTTGGGCAAAACGAATCTTTTGTTTTAAAATACTGGTCGGATTTAGCTCATTCCTTTCTTAATCGCTTCGTCTTGAATTAAAGACGATGAATCCCCAGTTTTGAAGGTTAAATATGAATGGTGATAGACTTATGTGCCTTCGTGACATGGGGAATCCAAGCATTTGCTTGGGTCGGATAAGGTAGCTCGAATTTTTAAAAACTTGCAAAGAGAATATCCACTACGGTAGTACTTGACTTTCAGTACTCCCGCTCGTATTATTATAAATTTTGGCCTGAGTGCAGAACTATTTTTATTTAAATATCGCTGTTCTGAGTATATTAATTTGCTCAGAATGTATGGCAGGAGCGAATTTGAAACAACGATATATATTTTAATATCCCGCTGTATTGATTATACTGGAGTATAACCCCTCACCCGATGAACTGATTTCTCCTATATTCGTATATTATATACCTTCAGATCTGAAAAATGATACATGGGGCAAAAGTTATGGAAGAATTAACCAATACATTCGTTTTGCCCAAACGCACGGTACTGTCAGTCTATCCTTGGCAAATGGGGGTGCAGGTACTCTGTGTTCGGGTTGACAAGGATAATCCAACGCTGCCACCGCACCATCAGTGTGAAGTAGGAAGGATACTCTTGAGTACATGTATGACTCTTGAACACTGTAGTTATCACGACCAAATATAAAAAACTGCCCACAGCTACGCCACCGACGACCACCTGGTACTGATATGAACTGATGGACCTTGCTGTTCCATTCGGCCTTGGTTGGCTTTGAACAACGTCAACAAGGCGAACGCCCACGCATTCTTGTCTTGTACGGACGCCGCGGCCAGCATTAGCCGTCTGGCG